ATACCTGCTTCATGTGTCAGACTTAATTCTTATTTATTGTCGTATGCGCGAGCGCGCCATTGGCGTTGCCTCTGAATAACTTATATTTCCATTCGCTTTTCCTGGTTTCCACGTGCCGGGGTTGTGTCCTTACGGCAGTTTTGGACTCGTATTTCAGCCAGGAATCCGCCATTCTCAATCTTTTCATGAGTTCCACCGCTACTGTTTGTTGCTAAATACGATGTTGTAAATGCAATTTGGGGTGCATTTATTGCACGGGGCTGTATAGACGCAGTATTTTCATTGGGTGGACTTCTCGAGTAGCCGGCCCGGCGCTTTGTACTTTCCGTGCAATTCAACGTTTTCATGCGACAAACGCAATAATAACAATGGCGAGGGAGCCGAAATGATTTATTGATAATTCACTATTTCGTGGCTCATTCATTTCGCCAAAAGCCGCCAAGAGCCGGATGAAGAGCGGCAATGAAATAGTATCCCTCGTCTGGCAAAAAATGGGTTGGAAAATATACCAAACAAACAAAACTAATACACGTTTTGTTAGAAACGGCACGAGCCACACAAATATGAATGCAGTCAATTATTAATAATTGTTTATTTTCGTAGGGGTTTTGTGCGCGAATACAAACACAGCTGCATTCTTTACGCGTGCGGGCAATAAAATTCATCTAATTTAATGTCACGAAAATTAATTAGAGTTTGCCTGGCTTTGTTGGTGTTGTCGCGCGCGCCAAAATTGCAAATTCATGGGAAAACTGGTCCAACAAAAGAAGCCAAACATTGCAAAATCGATATTCGTTATGCAAGGGCCTGAGCCAGCAGCTATTGCGAAAACAAAAATGTTTATCAGACACACATAAAACTAACTTTATTAGCTGATAAAGCCTGCACCATTTCGTCCACATTCATTTTACGCTATTATGCCTCCCACGACGGGCAGGCTGAGGCTTTATTCGGGAATAGTTTCAATGCCGATGCCACCAATCGTTTGGAAGTAAATAGTTTCAGCCCTGGTCATCGTCTGGCCGGCACAGCCGCCGCCAGTTTTATCGTCATCATGCGTTCGTGCGCGTACGTCCGGAGGCAATTAACTCTGCCACAAAAGCACAAAAATGTTTGAATATTTATCATTGTCTACGCGGGAACAATTTAAGTTTCTTTTTCTGTGCAGTTCACCTTGTAATTTTTGCTGGTGTATAATTGTGGTTGTATTAATAGCCGATGTAGTGCCGGAAATTTTGCCTTCAAAAGACCGGGTCGCCCACAAGGAGGAAACAATTGTTGGTTTTAGTATTGCGCGACTGTTTTATTGTTGTAGCGCAATTCCGGAGCGTGCAGGATGAGGTGTAAATACATTTCCTCCACCGCGCCGCCTAGCAATTTCTATGAATATATGAACATAATGTAAACCGAAAGGAAATTAGTTCATTACGAAAGGCGTCTCGTACAACGGCAGTCAATGCTCCTTCTTGTTTGTAGCTTTATGCATGAGCGTGCTGCTGCTGGGTGTCGAATAACCGAGGCTATAAATCTACACTGTTATCTCCTGCTTTATCTTCACGCACCGCGTATCGACGAATTAGTTTTTATCCTTTCGGCGAACGCTCGCCGCCGCCGCGCCGTTGGAGCAAACAACTCTGGACGTTTGCATAATGCATGCGCGCCAAATTAATTAATGAAAACGTTTAGATGCAACATGCAACGCTGTAATAACATTATATCGCAGATGGAAATGGTAATAATTTCGGCGGTGCTTTCTTCTGGAAATATGCATTTGTTATTTTTGATGCAAATGTTCGTGTTTTGGTTGGTAATGAAGCTCTCTAAATTAAAACGTATGCATTTTAACCTGTCTCCGCCAGAAAATTGACTCCCAACATGCGTGTGTGGTACCACTGCGCTTTATCTATAAATATGTGGGAGTTTATTTTGTACATGCAACGCTCCGGCAAAGCGAGGCGACAATTTCTGCTTACGGCTTTTCATAGCCGCGCCGAGAACAGCACATAAAGTTGGCAAGCAAAGATTGATGACATCGTGACGACGTGCTTAAAATGCCGCGCGGTCGCCTCTGGAGAGAAAAGGATTGATTGACCCTTCGTCTATTTTCAGTATATTTTAATAACTTAACGGTGCATATCATCTATTCACTAACACGTACATCATTCAATTAAGTTTTAAGCAAATAAACGCCGATATTAACGTGGATATTTGATCTTCACTTCATAAATAGAAGTATTTTGACCTTAGAAATTATCAAGTCGAGTCCAGTTGATTGATGAGAAAATTTCGTTCTTTGCATCGATTTTTCGATTGCGAAATTATCTCGTTCGTGGCGAAGTTTATCTCACAATTTGTGGTGAGTTTTTTTGCCGCCCCCGCGACGCCACTCCGCAACCGCTGCACCTCCACGAATTCGTAAGCATGTAAGCTTCTTTGCTCGCCCATTCCCAAACGCATGTATCCTTTCTCCTAGATGCTAGTCGGGTTGGGATGGTTTTTACATTACTTTTCAATGTTGGAACACGCAGAAGTTTTATCTGATCGACCTCAAGAACTTCTTTCGCTTCGTTTTATTCGATTTCATTCCGTTTTCCTTCATCTAATAGACATCTTCGAGTCGAGATCTGCGGAGAGAACATACTCATCGTGTGTAGATGTGTGTTCATGCTCTTACCAGTTCCAGAGAGACGTACGGGGAATATCTAGTTCGTTTTGCTTCGGCAGTTGGACGATGGTGAGGTTTTCGTTTCATTCAGTACGCGTTCGAATTTGAATTGCATCCGACTAGAGATGGACTAAATCGGAATTTCCCGAAAACATTAGCCTACTTTTTGATTTCCACTTCGCTTCGGTTCTCCGTCCTTCGTCCGGGCGCGCGCTTAATGCACGTTGCGACGAAGATATCAGGGGAGTTCGGAGCGATTTTGATTTGCGTGTAACGCGTTCTTTTTCCCTTGTTGGCGAGCGAAATTGATAAGATTCCGCCTGATGCTCGCACATGGAGATTGGCATCGCACCGAATTAGGTCGCGCTGAAACAACTTCCGCATACGTAAAATTTAATTATAATATGTTGACTCGTGGAAATTTCGTTTATATTCAAAATGGAGCCTTTATTTATCAACGCAATAATTTACTTCAGTACCTGCCTGTTTCTATATGTATTTTTCTTTGATAAATCCAACATAAATTTTCAGTGCTCTTGTGTAAATGCGATAATAATTTTCTTTGTAAGCCGAAAGAGACATTTCCATTACGCGCTGTCTTTTATTACGCATATTTGGTTTAATGCACGCTTGGAAAATCAATAGCAACTATATCGATGAGAACAAAGGCTAGGTAAAAGTCGAACGTCGAAGAAGTTGTACTTTTGTACATGCATCGGAGTGTGGAAGGCACGAAGACACAACCTGCATATTCGGAACACACCGCGAAACACGGAACGAGCCTCGAAACGATATAACTTTTAAAAGAGATTCGCCGAGAATGTGCTGCGCGCTCTTTCGACAACAGCAACAACAAAAGCAAACGACTCGCCTTTCGTTCGCGTACCTACCTACAAAAAGCGCGTTCGTATTGTTTCGCATTTACATATTCGTCGCGACAGGTCAATATTTACATTGAATATGCTATTAAGCAATTCGATTGATTCAAATGACACGCGATTTGAGCTCGGATTCTTCCGTTCAAAGGCTCCTTTGTGGGCCATTCGATTCTTTCTCGTGTTATCCTCTGCGAAAAAAGCACCGTGTAATTTTATTTCGTTTCAAAAGATAAAATTCCGCCCGCTGCCGTTTATCGTTTTCTTAATTGTAAATTTTTGCATTTGAAAACGGTTATGTTTTCAATTGAAACGCGAGGAATGTTTATGCTTTCCGTTAACAAGTGCGCGATATGTATGAAATCTGCGAGAATAAAAAGACGCACACGCAAAAAACATTATAAAACGGGACGTTAACGTTATAAAGTGAAAAAATTTAAAATATAAATAAAAAGCAGCAATGCGAGTGCGAGTTAGGAATGTTAAGATAACTGCGATAATGTCGAATGCGTTGCGCGAACGTCAGTAGCCAAGCCCCGATACTTTTAAAATATATAAAAAATCACACAGGTTGCAACAACTTGGGCTTCATCTCTCAGCGCTCTCGTTCGCGCAAGTTTTCAGTTGGTTAATGTTGGCGTGGTCAACAAAACGAAAAGATTTAAAGCGTCTGAAATATTGGCTGCAACTGCTGGGACGGCAGCGCAGGCTGTGTGCACCAGTAGTAGCCGTTTCGCGTGAGTACGGTCGATCGAGACAATTTTCGATTTGATATTCGCGCCGGCCACAGCCCATGGTCGACGCGGTGTGTGTCGGTCATTCGAATGATTAATAAAAAATCATTGCAGGACACGCGATCGGTCGTTTACGTTATTCTCTCGTATTATACTTACGCGCGGCGCGCACACATTATACGAATGCGAAGTCATAAATATCAGAGGGAAAGAATGGCTTGCAGAGCCGTGCGAGCGGTTTTTGCGATTGCCACGAATCCATTAAACGTGTTCCGATTAGTTTGCGCTGGTAGTTTCTAAGCTCACGCCATTATTTTAAGTTAATGAACGTTGATTTTTAGCTTGAGGAATTTTTTTATAATTGTAAAATCTAAAATTTTAGTGTTTTTTTTTTGGGTAAAAATAATTGCGCTCAAGTTGCGCTGCAGATATATTATATTATTATAAAAGGGTTGCTGCTATTTTTGCTGTTGGCTATGAATTAAAAACACACAAATTTCGCTCGCTTGTTATTGAAACGTTGAAAGAACTAATAATGATGGTTTTTCAATTAATGGGTAAACATTCGCTTGTATACTTTAATTAAAGCTCGTGCATGTTGCGTTTTGCAAGCGCATTATGCTCCCGGCAATTTTCCTGCATGTGTACATACCTACCTATATTATATTTTCATGCACACGCTGAAAATTTATTTTCAATTATTTAAATGTTTTCTTGTTGTTGTAGGTAAATGTGGCAAGGATCCCGTGGTCTTAACCACAACCAGCAGCGGCATCAGTATTACGGACCAACACTCGGACCACGTCCGGACCAGACGCCACAATGCGACATGGAACACCATCGTCAATACCAGCATCACCACGGTCATCCGACAGCCGGACCCAGCTCGGAGGAAGTAGTAGGTGGCCGGTGCGCGCCACGCACGCCACCACATGTACGCCAAGCGTACCTGCATTTCCCGCCTCCACCTGAGTACCCGCCGCCACGCCGTGCCATGGCCGATGAGCATCTCATGAGCTTGCCGGCTGGACCGTCGAACATCGACTACTCGTACGCGTATTACGAGCCGGGTCCGCCGACACGACACCACAATGTTCCAAACAGGTATCTTGGTGGTGCAAGCACATCCCGCTCGTACCGCGAGGGTTCCTATCGCGCTAAACACACGTATCTTACGCGTTATGGTACTGAGGAGAACATCTACGAGGAGATTAGTGAGGTGGCTCGGGCGCGTATGAGACCCTTGCATCAAGAGTCCATCATGTCGCTGAATCAAAGCCTTGTTGAGGAGGAAGTGCGTAGCGTTGAGTACCGTCATCGGCGTGTCCTAGGCGAGTTGAACTTGGCCGTCGAGGCGATGCTCATGCCCTCCAATTCTCAGGAGGGCAGTGAGGGCACTGAGACGGAGGTGGACGATCAGTTGGCTGACTTGTTGACGGTTGGACCCACCGATGAACTCCTGTCGCCGGTGCCGTTGGTTGACATGGACAGTGGTTTTAGTGGTAGTTCTAGCGGCGCGAGTTATCGTAGTGCTATCGGTAGTTTGCGGCGTGGCGAACGACCCAAGTCGTCGGCCGCTGCGCTGCCCAGGACTTCTACGCCTTCCGAACCGCCGACGCCTAACAAGGGCTTCTGGAAGAAGGGGTGGACCAAGAAGTTGGGGTTTTCAAGCACAAGCCTTAACAAACAGAAAGACAAAGGTGAGTCAAATACATTTTCATGCTTTATTATTGTACAAATAGTCATCTATTTTTTGGTTGTTATCTACTCGCAAATATCTTTGCGCATGTTTACACAACTGGATAAACAATGCCGATTTCCAGCTTGCAAAATTTTTTTATCACTCAATTGAGTCGTGTCTTCTTGCGGTGGGGCGCAAAATCAACAATATTATCTAATTTCCAATGTTTTTATGCAAATATAAGCGGGAAACATTTGAAAGTCTGCGGGGGAATCGACGTTGTTTTCCATATTTTTTGAATGGAACGAAGGCTCTGGCACTCCAAGCAAACATACCATACACATATATAGAATATGCTTCTGCAAACGCTAAACGCTCACTTGATTTTCAATATTCCGCTTCCTTGAGGGCTTAATAACTCTATTCCTCCCTTGCACGAATGTGATTCCGCACGGCATTTTTGTGCTCTACTCAGGTTGCTTTTTGTTACATTTAATTTCATGATTAGTTTTGCGATTCGTGCCATACGGTTGTTTTTCAAAAAAGCGAAATAACTTGGGGCGCAATACCGTTGCACACAACATACAATTTGTGCCTACTAGCTGCACTGAGGGATGTTTTTCCACAGAACGACAGAAAATAACTTATTTTTGTGGCCATATTGCACAAGCACAACAAGAAACATTGCAGTCAAGACGCAACTACAAGTTTAATTAGTAAAGTTTCCAATTGCACAAAAAAACACAAAATCCTATCTAAATTCAAATGTAAAAATACTGAAATTATGTAATATTATGGAATGTGTTTCATCTTTGACATATTAGTCATCAACTCGTCATCATACATGTTCGCGTTGCATAGAATTTATTATAGATGTAAATCGTTATTATAGCTTTAGTGTCAAATCGTAAAACTCCAGGGAGAGGCAGCACCATAAAAATTAATAATTTTTATCCTGTAAGCAGCGTTAATGATCGACGCATCTTTCATGTAGGCGCTCACGTCGCATTTGGTGAACGTCAATTCGTTATTCTTATGTATTTTTAAATTAATGTACGTTTTTTTCTGAAAGCGAGCCGTTTTGGCTCGCATACTCGTACACACGATGATAATATGTTTACATGTGATATCTGCTTACCGTTTGAGCAGGAGTGCGCTGCCGCTAACTTTACGACACTAAATTCTTCGTCCCTACGTGATGTTACAGTTTGCCTGGCGCACTTATTCTTCTTCTTACGAGCGCCGAGTCGGACGAGCAATGCTATATTTCCTGTTACACATGCACGTACATCGTTCGTCGAGTTGTAAACTCGTAAAGTAAAAGAGAAAGCCCATTCAAATATAATTCCGCATATTTTTTCAATGTAATTTATAGGGATTCACTTTTCATAGACATTTTGTTCTGGAAATTAAATTAAAAGAAGCAATGCATTCAAATGTCATCTAATATAGTAATACCTTAGTTGCGAAGTTAATTTTACGGTGGGTTTTTATCACACTTGCAAAATAAAGAAGCGATTGTTCTTAATTGCAGATAATCGCATCTATTATGTAAATTATCGTCTTTAACAAAAGCAACTTAGTAATTAGTTGATAATTATCACATGTGTGGAACATAAAGACGGGCTTATGCAATGTGTAGAACAATTAAAAATTCACCCATTAACCATAGACCACAAGTTTCCATGCGCGTAGAATGTGATGTAATTATATTACGGTTAGTTAGAGTTTAAAATATGAAGTGATGATAAAGATTGATTGCATTAATTAACATCCTAAGCGCAAAGTAATTCTGCGCGCAGACTGGGCTGTTCGGAGCGGATAGTACACGATGCACGAATATATTTTAATTGAAAATTTATCTAAAAGCGACTAAAAGCTTTATAATATTCGCTCGTTTGGCGATAGCCATTGTATTCAGATCAGACAATGTCAACATACCAAGTGCGCTCGCCGGGGAAGCGCACACGCTCTCGCAGACCAAGGAGGTGGTCGGTGGGTCGGTGGAAATCGTGCAGCCGCATGGTGTGCCGTACGTGGGTAAGTTGATTAACAGCATGTACGCTTAATTAATTATAATTACCTTACAAACAAGACCGTTCCTCAAAGTCTGTCTATGCGCTCACATCGAGCTCCCAGGCCGGGAGAGGCGCACTTGTAAATCATACCGCGCGCCATGCTCACGTGAACCTGCCGTGCGGATATTCTTTGACCGTTTATTATACAACACAGGGTGTGTATGTGCAATTTAGGTTCGGGAATTTTATCCACATCATGGCACGAGGTAGCATTCAACCAAAGTTGTTGATTCTCTCCAATTAAACATCTTTTTTTTTTGGTTTAAAAATGCTCTTTACTTTGCAAATATTGCGTGAAATGTTGTTTGCTCACTGCTTAAACAAAATATGACTGGTGATAATCTTAATTACATATGAATATTCACATTTAAACTTACGTTTAACTGGCAATTAGTATATACGTAGTTCTTGTGTAACCATTTACGATGCGCGCTTGAATTTGCGGAAAACTTGCGAGATCGTTTAAGTTGTGCTCACAAAACCTTAGATATAACTTCCTAGACTACACACACTCATGCACACATTTGCTGCGCGTTTGCAAGCTAAAGTAGATAGATTCTCGTGGGATAAACCAATATCGCAATTTGGCGCTAATTTACTTCAATATCGTCCGAGATACACGCATACATAATTAGTGTATGTTTGGTTTAACACTTCAAACGCTTCTGCGCTTCTCGAACTTAAACTTCCGCCCGCAGTCTTCCACTCGAACTATCGCAAACGGTGTAAAACTAATAATGTTATTTAATTTATCATTTAATACAAGTTTGCTGGCATCGCCTGAACTTTATAGCCAGTACAGTATGCTTTGTGTATTACAATAAAAAAAACTGGGCGTCGTAAATTTACTTCTCGTTTAAATTGTTTTTTTTTTCGTTGTTGTCGAATTTTGCGTCCTTTCGACGCGCACCGCCTCGTTATCTAATTGCGATTAATCAAGATTCCATGACGATGCTTAGAGGTGAATTTCGAGTACATTAGCGTGTTAGTATAATATGTTTATTGTTCGTGTTCAACTATGCGCCTTGTTACATTGCCGCCCGAAAGTCGCGACTCATCGAAAAGTTTTACCTTGAAAAAGTTCATTACTGGCAGAAGCATGCAGATTACAAGTTTTAATTGCCGCACCTATTCATGAACTAAAATGCTATTAACAAAGTTAGGTGTAAAGTCTGTAAAAAACGAAGAAATTAATCGGATTTTAGCAATTATCCGGAATTATTCGGTTACAGATAAAGTTGCAGCCTTTGGGCTTTAAAATTTTGTTTATTACTTCCTCCAACACTTTGTATATGTATTCATGCATTTATTAATTAAAATGAACTTCGCATAACTGCTAATAATTACGGTAGCAATTGCAAAAAATGATGTTGAGCATAAATATGCATAACATTGTAAGCGGTTGCGATGCGGTTGCTAAATGATTTTAATGTGTTTTTGATGGACTGATATCACCGGCTTGGAGTTTTGAATAATTAATGCGCTACGAAGAAGTGCGCATGCGGTGGAGAGACACGTGGAATGAACACAAGCCAGTTTTGGTAGCTGCAACAGCAGTAGGAGCGCAAGAAGTAGCAACAAGCCGGGCGAACAAGTTTGCATATTTCCCTCGGCGAGCAACTCGCACGCACGCGTTTTGGCATATTATCTTTAGCCAGATGAGACTAAAAGACAACAATTGTGTGTTGGCTGGAAAGTTTGGCAAATGAACTTAACGTGTATGCATTTCCTTGCATATTTAACTGACTGTTTGCACATAGAACATAGATCAATGCAATGTAGGTATACTTTTTACTCCTGTGTGCACTTTTCATGAGTTTATATAAACTTTACATCCTTAAAACTCTAAACTCTATAAACTACATGGAAAGTTATGCTAAAAAGTGCAGTATTTCTTCATTTTCTACACTTTTAAAGTAAAACTGCACTTGCACTTGCTTTTGCATTTGCACTAAACTTGTATCACAGATAAAAGAAGACAAATTTTACTGACAAATTGCTGCAAAATATATTCCAGGTGCATGCGGTAACACGAAAAAAGAGTCATGTGAAAATTGCTTTCTAGCCTAGCCTATGAATTATCATGGTCGTTGTTACTGCAGAACACGTTACAATTACGGTGATAATCTCAGCCAAACTGCGACCATAATCCAAGCGGGCAAATATCATATGTGACTGACTTCGTGTCGCGATCCCATCACAGGTTGCGCCAGATTCAACGTCTTGATAATTCGATCTTGGTTTGAAGCGCACTCGAATGTGTACGAAACCAGATCTGCTACTACTGCAATGGTGCTCATTAAATTCTAACCGCTTGCGTCGTTCGCACCGTCAAGAATAAAAATCCATCGGCAATTTTCACGTGCGCGCGTACATCGTTGCATTTTGAGGGCACTACGTGCATCCGCCAATGCAATCGCCAATTTTCTTTATTACACGAATTTCTACAATTTCTTTTCGGTCTCAGGTCTCAGCTCAACTCGGGATTGCTCGAAATTATTTCAACTACAAATGCTTCTTTTTCATCGCTGGAAGCAGGCATTGATTAAAGTTTTTGGTTGATTTTTCGTAGATGAAACAAAAAAAAATACTGTAACTAGGTATTTGAGTTCAAGTGTTGTTTTGTGCTTCCTCTAAGCGTAAATCGTTGATTGCAAGGACGAGGAGGAAACATTAAACAAGAAAACATCAAACATGACGCGATGTAAAGTAATAAAAGTCAACTATGTAACAACATACTGAAACAAGCAGCGTTTTGTATCGATATATCAAGCATAATCTAGGGAATAAAAACGAGTTTTATTATTCTTTGCGTTTATTGCGCTGGAACACAAGCAAACGTGCACACACGAAAATAATTGTCGGATTTGTCGCGACTCTGTTTGGCGTTGTTGTTATTTAACTGCGAGCTAAAATCAAAACGGCCCGAAGTTTGTTATAC